AACAACAGTGATAAAAGATGCATCATGCACGTAAATCCAGTAAGTTCAAAGCCAGGGGGTTACATAGCAAGATAAGGGAGGGGGACATAGTGAGACTTTCCAAAGCAAGAACTCACATGTTAATTTAGTTGAACTTTCAAGACTGTGAGCATCAGGCTTAGGTTCACAAAGCATGGGGCACAGAGAAGACATGGTAATTAAATCAAATTTCATACCATTCATTTTCTATGTTAACTACATATTGGAAAAAAATGATGACCGTGTTTTATCTTTACAGAGTTGAGTTTGCTGAGGGCTCTTTGTATGTGAATTCTTAAAGATACCAGATGATTCTAATATGTGGTGAGGATCAGAGATTTGGCTTTTGAGATCTCCTAGTTACAGCTTGTTTTCTTCTCTATATTTTACGACAAATAAACATGGAAGCTTCCTCCAGGCTGTCTAGCTTTTAGAATTCCAGAAGGTGCCATGCAACCTTCCAGGGGAGAAGAGGTACAAGGACCCAACTGTGGATGCTATAAACTATACCAAACTACCAGGAAAGGTGTGCCAACTGATGCAATAATGGTATGACTATGATGGGAACCACCCTGGCTTTGAGGCCCACTCCACAGGAGCGATTCCATGCCTGCTAATATAAGTCCAATCAACAATTCAAGGTTAGAGCGATCATCTAAGGGGTGAGGTTACTGCTGTTATTTTCCTAGACTGACACGGTTTTTTTTTTTTTTTTTCTTCGAGACAGGGTTTCTCTGTAGCTTTTTGGTTCCTGTCCTGGAACTAGCTCTTCTAGACCAGGTTGGCCTCAAACTCACAGAGATCCGCCTGCCTCTGCCTCCCGAGTGCTGGGATTAAAGGCGTGCGCCACCACCGCCCGGCCTGACACGGTTTTAACTGCCTTATAAACAGTTATTTTTTTTACATTTATTTCATGTGTATGGGTGTTTTTTCTGTATGACACATGTCTTTGTTTGTATGCCACATGTGTGCAGTACCCTTTGAGGCCATAAGAGGACATCAGATCCCTCTGACCTAGAGTTACAGACAGTTGTGAGGCCTGAGGGTGTTGTGACTTGAACCCAGGTCCTTTGGAAGGTCAGTCAGTGCTCTAAACCACTGAGCCATTTCTCCAGAATGTAGACATCTATGATTATACCTATAGACAAATGCAGCCCAGCTTTAATCACCGAAGCTTCTCTTTGCAATGAATGACAGGGAATGCAGAGACTCTTGGTTCATCAAGATGCCGAGAAAAAGAGATGTCTGTGTGCTCAGCACTAAAGAGTATATTTACAGCATTCCCTCTGAGGCTTGGGGAACATCATGGATGAGCAGGCAGACAGAATGTGAGACTTGTAGGCTTTGCACTTTTCGTTGAAGATGTAAGCTCTCAGCTTCCTGCTCCAGTAGCTAGACCAGCTGCTTGCTGCCATGCTTGCCCTAATGATAGGCGCTAATCCTTCTGGAACTATAAGCACAAATAAACTCTTCCCTCTATAAGTTGCCTTGGCCATGTGACAGGCTTCGTTAGCCTTATTCCCCAGGGAAACCTGAGTGCACTATCTGCTCCTTCTACTGCCTCACGAGGCAGGACAATCAGATTTGGAGCCCCACGACTAAGGACAATCAGACGCCATAGGAAGTCAAGTCAAAGCACAAACTGTTTATGACTGTGAGCATCAGCTTATATAGGTTAAGTGACATTGTGTGATGTGGGGGTCCCTCCAGCCAATCCCTCCCTCTGGCTGGAGGGGCGTCTACCTAGATTTTGCTGTCTCATCCTTGATAGTTTTGAGACTATCCCTCAAACTCAAGCCAGGCTTTTCTCTGTCCTACAGGCCTCAAGGTACAGGTCCTGAGATAATTTTGGCCCAACAGTCATGGTGTTCTATCACAGCAGCAAAACAGTAACTAATACAAAATCTAACACAACTGAAAACACCAGTAAGACTATGTATATATCGTATGAACACACACACATACACATGCAAATCAGAGATTACAAATTTCCTTGGCACACCGATTTGGCTGCCTGTGTGCTTCGAGCTGCCCCCACAACCTGTGTGTCTGTTTTTTTTTTTTTTTTTTTTTCTTGTCTGTTTCTGTCTCTCTCTGTAGTTCTTGCTGTCCTGGAATTTACTATATAGACCCACTGGCCTAGAACTCAGAGATCCACCTGTCTCTGCCTCCTGAGCGCTGGGATATATAGGTGTTCATGCCACTACACCTGTCTAGGACTATTTTCTTGAGAGGGAATTGATTAGCTGTTAGCCATCAAGAGTCACATGCACAGAATTTGGAGATGTGTGTCCAGCAAAGGAGACTGTCTTAGTTACAGTTTCTATTGCTGTAAACACCATGACCTTAGCAACACTCATAAAGGAAAGCATTTAATACTTGATAGACTGGACCAACGAAAGACTGGAACCCAGCTGGGCAAACTCTAAACTCTGCGTCTCCGTGTCTATTGTCAAAGCGCTCTTCAGATCTCCAACTCCTTTCAGCTTTGTTGGTGGCAACACACTTATTTCTCCGGAGCTGATTCCACTTACTGAGCGCAGCTTTCCTCAGCAGGTATTGTTAATCCTGCTGGTTGAGAATAAGACCATCACCACAATGTTTGAGCCAAATTTGAAGTAAGCTTTAATTAAATACTGGCTAAGAGGATGTAATCTGGCCAGATCCATTCCTCGGTTCCCAGAAAATGGCCAAAAGTCACATTTTGCAGGGGCTTAAAAAGGCAAAAACCATAGGGCCACCATCTTCCCCATCAGGTCCAATCAGGGCAAGTACACATCCCGGTAACTTCCTGCCTGTGATCTCCTACCTTCATGTGATCAAGTACAATTGGTGTTGTTAAAAATGCTGCAAGATCCCCGGCGGCAGGAGGCAGCGGGCCCACGGAGCAGCTAGTCCCAGGCAAAGACCGCTGCCGGTTCCCGTTCCCGAGCAGTGGCTGGTCCCAGGGGGTCCCAGCGAAGGAGGGATGGGCACGTGGACAGACACATCATCCTACCGAATAGAATTGGATACTTAGAGGGGAGAGAGAGTGGGGGGAGAAGGAGAAGACAAAGGAGAGAGACAGAGAAGTGGGGGGGGGGGGAAATGGGGAGAGACACACGAGCGAAGCTGCCTCTCTGAGGGAAGATGGAAGAGAGCGCGAGCTCAGGCCGGAAGCTAAAGATCAGCCCGCCGCCTCAGCGGATAAGGGAGGGCGTGAGTGTGGTGTAGTTGGGTCAAACAAACTTGTTCAGGGGAGTGAAACGTGTGGCTTGTTATCGCCCATAAATAATTGTTTCCAGGATTTCAGAAAGTATATGTCCTTGGGCAGGAGGCTTACTGGTTAGAGGCATTTTTGTTTCATGGATCTCTTAGGCATAGTATTGAAAGATTAAAACATAACTTTCGTTCTCACAGTATTCCATGACTCTGGCATCTCCAGTGAAGTTGGTACCAGGGACTGAGGAATTGCCTCAGCAGGTATCCCACGACTCAGGTATCTCCAATACCTTAGGGTCTCCAAGGCAATCAGGGATTCAACTTCACAGTTTCACAAAAAGGCCTCTCTAGGCCTCGACCCAGGGACAACCCTGACATATGACCAACCTCAGCGGTTTTCCTTCATCACGGAGGGAAATGCTATAGCCCCTTACTTCTCCAGAACCATGAGGTCAACGCTGCCAAGTTCTGTTGCTTACTGGGGCTGGAACACAGTCCCCTCATTCGGTTATATATTCACCACCTTTCTGTTTTTCGTGAGTTCCTTCACTGTTGCCTGCTTTGAGGACCCTTTCCTCCTCCTGGGTTGCCTTGTCTAGGTTTAATATGAGAGGAGGTGCCTAGTCTTAATGAAACTTGACATGCCATGGCTGGTTGACATACAAGGGAGGCCTCCTGTTTTCTGAAGAGAAAGAGGGGGTGCTTGGGTTCAGGTAGTGAATGTTGGGGGAAGGGACAGGAAGGAGAGGAGAGAGGGTGAACTGTAATCAGGCTGGAAAAACTATTAATAAAAAATACATTATACTTTTACCATGATAATGTCTATATACTTTATGCAAACTAGTGAGGTCAAAAACAAACTTCTATCTGAAGAATCTAAAAATGCTCAGTTGAAGGACCTTGAACAAACTATTTCATTACAGTGCAGTGTTGGTCTATAACTAACACACAGATTTCCTAAAGCAGTACCAGTGTGGTAGCCCTGAGACCAATCACTGAAAAGTCCTCTTAATATTAGCTTTAGCTCTTCCCTTTCTTCCTGCTCCAACTTTGATTTCTTTTGATTAGTAAGATGGTAATCCTGCTGGACCCTCTTGCTCCAGTAATTTTACTACTCTATGTCCTGTGCACTCTGAAAAAAGGACACTGTCACAGATTTCTTTCTTACTACTTTCTTCTTCTTCCTTTTTTTTTTCTTTTATAACTATCAGTGGTTCCTCTCTGTGTGCTGATGTACCTCCTAATGCAATACTCAGGTCTCAATCTTACTTTATAATTATTTTATTATATGAATGAGTTAAGTTTGCCTGCATGGATCTCTGTATACTATGTGCCTGCCTGGTACCTGTGGAGGTCAGAAAAGGGGTCAGATCTCTTGGAATTGGAGTTTCAGAAGGCTGTGATACCATGTGGGTGCTGGGAATTGAACCCTGGACCTCTGGAAGAGCAGGCAGTGGTCTTAACTGCTGAGCCGTCTCTCTTGCTCCTCAATTTTACTTTTAATCACAACGTGCTTATGATGGATTTTTTTCTGTCATTTGTTTCTGCCAGAATGAGCTTCTTTGAAATTATTTTCATCAAAAATTCTCATGCCATGTTTTACCATCTGAACTTGCATCATTTTCTTCAAGTATTAGTGAAGTGTTGTCTTCTACTTCGGAAAAGGGTTCTCTACTGCCTAGGCCTCAGGCATGGCAGTATCAAAGCTCCTGTATTAACCTCCCAAGTAGCTGAGATTGCAAGAACATGTTACCTATGTTTCTATTATAGGTTATATATAGTTTTAGGAAACACAAATGATTTTATTAAAAGATCCTAACAAAATTTCACAATATTTAAAATAAGCCAACAATGTTACACCAAGGAAAGAATCAAGTTTTATAAAAAGCTAAATGCATATGAACAATAGTTTCCATGAAAAGGGAAGACTACTACCTTGCTAGTGGGAAAGGTTCAGGGTCACCCTTTATTGGAGCAACTCCCATATTTTAAGGTGACACACTATCTTTAGTATTTACAAACCTCCAAACATAAATGCATGGTACGAACACCAGATGTGACACGATGGTGACAAAGCAAAGGCATCAAGAACTACTATCAGCCTACACATTTCTACTTCACATTCATGCTTTCCTTAAGAAAGTAAGTCTACATTTTTATAAATCATCTCTCCACCTAGGCAGAACAGGCCGTTGAGAGAACAATCATTTTTTTTTTCCTTAGACATCTGAACTAGTTTAATAACAAAAATATACCATTCTCTTATTTTAGTTTTTATCTTCAATGACATAGGAAAGATCTAAAATCAAATTGGCTGTCTCCACAGCAACCTGCAGGCCACTAAGCTTGGCAGTGAAACAGTCCACAATTAAGTTGCTGGCTGAGTCCACAGCTGCCTGTGACAGGCAGGTTTGTGGTGCAAAAGGATGATAAGTGCTTCTTAAGGAAGACCAGCTGAGTCCTTCCTGGCTGTTGCACAAGCCACAGCCACATCGTGACAGCATATCTGGCCAGTTAACAGAAGCAGAAGCCGCTTGACCTGACCAAAAGTGTCCATACTTCATGTCAATGAGGATTTCACCGCCATCGTGTTCTAAAGAGCCAACAACGGCTTCTAGAGCACTGCAGAATGCTTCAGCAGCAATCCGGAGTTCCGCTCGAGAATAACCATCCTCTTTGACAATGTCGTCTGCCTTATTATGAACCTAAAGAGGAATAAGACCAGTGAAAACAGACAGATCAACTCATATAAAAATGCTTCAGAAAAAGATGATACTCGATCAAAACCTTGTTCAAAAGGTTATTCACCTTCATTTCCTTAGATCTCACAACAATGCTGATTGGCCTGTGTCAGTCAACCTGGTTGGCCAGAGAACAATGTATATTCCCAGTCACTAACCAGAATGAAGGAACAGACCTTTTTATCAGTTTATTCTAAATGGCTGACTGGTGGCACCTTCTTCAGTATATAAAGGACAATGCAGATTATAGGGTTAACAAAACAAAACAAAACAAAAAAACATGAGTATAGAGAAAAATTGCTAAAGACTAATGTCCCAAATAAAGTACTTATTATATCAGCTAAATGCTTGAGAGCTGCTTAAAATTATACTGCAAAATTACAATTAAGACATCATTTAGGGATATGTGTAATTTTCACTTCAATGTTTGAAAAATGAAGATTCTTCAATTTAATCAAAAGATATTTAGACTTTAAACTTCCTTTTAGTTTCAATATCCTAAATTATTCTGGGGGTAGGGAAAAAAAGGAGAAAGGGAGAGGGAGAAGAAAGAAGAGAGGGGGAGAGAAAACAATGTTCACAAGTGGAGGCCAAAGGTCAAGGTCAGATACCTTTGTCTCTTGTTCTCCACTTTGCAGTTTTGAGACAAGGTCTCCCACTGAATGGGAAGCTCCCTGACTGGCTATGCTGGCTGGCTGGCCAGGGAGCATCAGGGATTCTCTTGTCTCCTCCTCCCAGAGCTAGGATTCTTACATGGCTGCAGGACTCAGGTCCTCCTGCTTACCTAGCAAAGGCTTTACCAAGAGCACCCTCCCCAGCTCCATGGAAACGTCTTAAAATAGAATTGGTAAATAAGCAAGCTACGAACTGAATTATGGGTAAAGAACCCATATCTTTGCTCTTTGTAAACAGTTCCTATCTTCTGTAACCAGACTTAAAAGTCAGATGACATGGTTTATATTATACACCCCTCCACTGTTCGATACTGTCCTGTTTCTTCTAAACCCTACTTAAGATATCTCTTTTCTCCAAAACATTTTTTCTACGCATTCAATCTTATTTGTAGATTACATTATCACCCATTGATCATCATTAGATTGGCTAGAAATTGGTTTTTCATAAAGTATAGTTTGATAACTTCTCAGGAATTGGTTTTATCTTCAAATGCATGTGGAGTGATCTGGGAAAGGTGACATGATTATGCCTGTAAAAATATTCACTGTCTCTCTAGGTCCAGTTACGTCCTGGAAATTCTGTAGGGCCTCTCTCAGGAGCTGGTCAACCAGGAATATGTGGGGAACATGCTTATCTTTTTGTATCTACTTTCAAACAAAGTAGGCTAGGACTATGAAATAACTGATAGGACCTATAACACACTTATCTAACGACTTTCAGTAAATGGAGACTAACGAGAAGTCTAAATAGCAGAGTTGGTAGGACCCATTTAAAAACTGTCACGACAGTCTGGAGAGCTGGATCAGTGGGTAAAAGGGCTTGCCACTCAGCCTGACGACAACATGCATTACATGTTGTCCTCTGACTTCCACATGTAGGTGCCGTGGCATGTATGAATCCATGTATGAATGCACACATGCATGCGTGCATGCACACACAAAGAAAATAGTAAATGTGAAATCTGATCCTTGGGATGTGTAATCCATGAAGTTGGCTCTTCTGTTGATGCTCCAGAAAGTATTATACATATTTTGAACCACAGTTTTTTTTTGTTGTTGTGAGCATTAGAACATTAGATGCTGTTGAATTTCAGAACTTCCAATAACAGAACGTCAGCTTCAACAGGCATTAAATATAGATAATGCTCAGAGAACATGGCCAGTTGCTAGGTTAGATTCATGATAACCAATACAATCAACTCAGCACCTTGTACTTATGAGTATTACTTTCCTAAAATATTTTCCACTACATTATCTGAGTTTTGAAAAGTTAAGTATCAAAGCTTGTTGGTATCATAATGTGGCCATTGTCTCACAAAACAAAAACAGCTGACAACTTAAGTAATGCAAGGAGAATGTCTAACTTACCTTGTGTCTGATATGAGCAGCCAAGTGTGTTTCCGTACAGCCACCTCCCAATAACACCCATGGTTCCTTGATTGTTAGCTGTAAGACATGCAGTGCTGTCTGACATGCGAGCTAAGGAAGAAGCACATCAGAATCAGGATCTCACCCTGGGACGTGAACTCTACACACTCTCATAGTAACTTACAGAGATATAGTTTCAATTTTTAATTCTCTGTGTGTCAGGGAAAGGTGCATGCCAGAACACATGAGTAGGGGTCAGAGGGCAACTTGTGGGAGTCTGACATTTCTTTCCACTGTTTGGGTCCTAGAAATTGAATCCAAGTCATCCAACTTGGATTTTTTTAAATACGAAAAGGCTCTGTTTGTTGATTTTGTGTGTGTATAAGGGGTCAGTTTGCAAATGTGTTATGACAGGTGTAGAGCTTAGAGGACAACTTGTGGGAGTCAGTTCTCTTCTTCCATCATGTGACCCCTGGGAACTGCACTCGCGACATTAGGCCTGGTATTGAGTGCCTTTACCTGCTCAGGTGTCTCAGTAGTGCAAAAGGTCCAGATTTCAATTCATAACAAACAAAATCCATTTTACCAAAATAGTAAGGTGACTAATAAACATTTCCGATAAAGATTAGAGAATGAAGAGAGACTTTTAAGCCATATATCTGTTTTCACGGAATTAGATTAATATTTCTTTCACATCTACTTTGCTCACAATTGCACAGCCTAAAAACATCAGTGACAATGAGGTTTGCTGGTCCTTCCGTTAAAATCCAAGTCTAAACAAGGAAGTTGTACAAATGTTATAAAGCCTGTTTATAGCACCAAGCAATAGTAAGTAAAAAACATGCAAATCTGATTTACTAAGGATGAATTTTTAAGGATATATGAATCTTTAAACTAACAAACAGTCCTGTATATTGTCAGTTCCCTTATATAAAACTTGCAGAAAACAATAAACTCTACTAGAAAGTAGGTGACTGGGAAATTCACTTTGAGTCAATTATTCATACACATTAACAGCAGTACACACAGTCCAGGCATGATCAGCCTGTGGTGTATGGGTTACATGCTTCCCACAAGAGCTATGAATGCAGCAACACATTTGTAGATGATAATGTGGCATCAAGTCAAAAGGTTGGATGACGTAGGCAACTCATCCTATTCTCAGGAAAACTTCACATCAAGAACCTTTAAGTTTCTTATAAAAAGCAGAAATGATAGCGTACAATATATTCCAAGTTTACTATAGCAACCAACTAAATTAGCTTCTTTGAGCCATTGCCTTTCCTCTTCCCTCATCTGATGCTCAGATTGGATCTTGTCTGTACCAACCTCCACTCTTGAGCTATACCTCTGGTCCCTACTTCTGTTCCTTTGTGACTTATTATATCACAGTGGAAACTATGAAAAATTGTGAAAAACAAAAACAGCACAGCCCTTAACCTGCAGTACCTGCCATGACTGCTTCATCCATGCTGTAGGCCCTGGAAATCCACCTACCTTCAGCTCCTCCCAGGTGGTGTCGTTTCGACTGCAGAGAAGCAAGCTGCAGACAGTTGTCTCATGAGGAATAAGATGGAAAAAGTGTTTGGAGCCAAATCTTGCAGGGTGCAAATCTTTCACACTTCCATAAGTAGTAGAAGCTATTGTGTTTAGGGAACCAATAGGCATTGCTCCTATTTTTTATAAAGTATAGAAAACATAAACTGCATAAGCAAAGATGGAACTCTTAAAATGAATAAATATCCATTTTATTTCAAATTTATTTATTTATTTAATTCAAAATTCCTAGCTAGTATAAAACCCCTCACCAAAGCTTATCATTTAAAATATGAAATACAGGATAAAGAAAGAAAACACATTTTAGATCTCTGAAGTTCATATTCTGCTATTAAGTGATGCTCTTTGCTTGTGTAGGCTCTTTTGGTTTATGAACTTTGTCATAGCTGCCTATCTGTTGCTGTGATAAACACTCCATTAAGGGGCTGGAGAGATGGCTCAGAGGTTAAGAGAACTGACTGCTGTTCCGGAGGTCCTGAGTTCAATTTCCAGCAACCACATGATGGCTCACACCCATCTATAATGAGATCTGGTGCCCAGAACACTATATACATAATAAATAAAATTAAAACAACAAAACAAAATAAAAAACACTCCATCAACAGAGGGTAAGGGCTATTCTGGAGCACAATTCCAGGTTAAAGTTCATTACAGTAGAGAAGTCACAGCAGCAGTAGCTCAAAGCAGCCATTCTTACCACAATCAGGCAACAGAGGGATGCGTGCATGTATACTAGTGCTTAGCTTGTCTTCTCAACTTTATACCATCTAGGAATTCCTGCCCAGGGAATAATGCCACGCGCAGTGGTCAGGCCTTTCTGGTAGGCAGACTGATAGTATTTATTCACTTGTGCACGCGCGCATGTGTGTGTGTGTGTGTGTATTGTTAGGCATTAAACCCAGAGTCATGTTCATGTTAGGCAGATGCTCTACCACTGAGCCACACTCCCAATCTTACAGACCTATCTGAACATCTGTTCAAAGCTATTTTGTACTCTCTGGAAAAGGCACACAACAAAATTACCTATATTTTAAGGAAGTTCAGGATCCCTGAAAGCCTAAAGATCAAAAACCACACATTAAGGAGAACCTCATTAATTTGAAAAGAGTGGAAAAGTCCTTTTTTAAAAAATTCATTTATTTCTTTGGGAACTCTAGGGCACACACACACACACACACACACACACACAAACACACACTCTTTGCCTAAGAGCTTTTACAAAAATGTAAATGGATATGCAAGTGCCAAAATAAAAATATGACATACTCATTTTACTTTTCTTGTCTTCTTATTCCTATTTCTTTATCCTTTCACTATCATGGGGGAAATTACATAAACCACAAGTTAAAATACAAATAGAGTGATTTGGGTATTAGCAAAATCTCTTAATGTAGTTAAGTTATATAGGAATCTACACCAATTTCAAAGTAAATGTAAGAAGTAACATTTAACACTTGCATATCAAAACTGTAACTTGTAGCGACTCACTTTTTTGGAGGCCAGTTTTTTTTTTTTTTTTTATTAATATACTTTCATGTAGTCCAGGCTGTCTGTCCTTAAACTTGCTATGCAGGGGAGGATTGAGGATCTTGATCCTCCTGTCTCTTCCAAGTGCTGGTATTAGGTATGTGCCACCTTGTCCACAGACTAGAAAACTCTAGAGTCATAATTTTCATGGTGTGTTCTAGGTATCTGAGCTAAGTCACAAAACTGGACTAGTGCAGAAAACCAGTGCCATTCACAACACTGGTGCTATGGGAAAATGTTTCAAACTTTAACTTACCAAATCCAGAATACCTAGTATATGTTAGGCTGGAAACAGCCAGATCAATGCAAATTAGTACATAATTTAGGTCTGTCCTATGGCACCAAGAATGAATTCCAAATTATTCCAATGTTCCTAGTAACTTTCATTTTGATAATCGTTTGGCTGACAGTATCCAACGTTTGCCATACTAGTGAACTTTAATAGTTCATTAAGTTGAGAATCACAAGGCAGGTACCATATAGTTGTAGCTCTTTGGGAGACTCAAGTGGCTCCCTTAGGGTCAGCACTTGGAGACTAGTCCCAACAACATAGCTGGACCTTGTTAAACAAAAAAGCAACCATCACAGTCAATATGGATGTAACTGACAATTCCTGATTTTGTCACTGCAGTTAGAGGACACTGACTTGAGAAGTGGCTCACATAAGGGACTCTTCAACCTTTTTCCTGACCACATATGTGTGTTTAGTCTGTTAGGTTTGTGATTGTTATTGTAGATATCAATCCATCAAATATTTAAATGCCTGAGGACCAGATATGTTAGAAACACTGACTGTAAAAGGTACTCTTGGTTCAAAAGAACCTAGCTACACGTAGTTTTGATAAATGTCAAACATGTATAATGTATTCCTGCCTCCCAAATCAGGAACAACTATTTGGGCAGAAGGACAGAAATTTCTTGGAGTTATGATAACAATGAAGATGAATATAACAGGATTTAAAAGCTCTGTCAATTTTAAAAATTGTGTGTACAACATTAAAGACATTATTATGTTAGACTTCTCGACTGCCTATACAACACTAAGGGTTAGATCATAACAGACTACACTTGGGTTGAAAAAGCCACCACCGTTTCTAATAACTGGGAAGAGATCTTTGAAACAACTTTTGCTGCCAGAGACGAGTCAAATGCTATAAGGTTTGTGGCTTCTAAATATTTTCAAGGTATTAACAGTGACACAAACCAAAGTTCTCTGCTCAGAAAGGGAGGATGATATATTAGCTTTAATGTACAAAAGCCAAGAGAAGTTTTTACCTGTGACTTTGCTCAGGGGTTCCATCAGAGTCACTCCAACTCTGTCAATGGCAATAATGTGATGCTCACTGAAGAACTGTTTCAAAGATGGGTGTATAACTTTTTGGCACAGGACAAGACCTACATGGTCACTGACTAGCTGCCTTCCCAGATTAAACAACTGCTCTAAAACTGCATTCTCAAGGGACACTTGGTAAGGGACCACCACAGTTCCTTCTCCAGCATTAGAAAAATCTCCTGATAAAGAAACACAGAATAGCGCCACCTTGAGGGCACTTGACTTCCGGGTGGATAATCTCCTTAATTGAACTTCTGACATTTCAATGAGCAGTCCAGGTAATATAGTGGAATCTGTAACTCCTTGGCCCTTTAAGGGAACAATTATATTCTTCCCTAAAATGAATCGGTCTTCTGTACTTTCTGGAATTGTAAGCAAAAAAGCTTTCAAAAGCAAAGCACTGATGTGATCTGTTTCCTTTCTGGTGAGCATACAGGCAGGTTTGCTGGTTAAGATACTGTGGACCAAGCCAAGGAGGATATGTGTACTACTGAAATCAACCGGGATTCGACAACTACAGGCTTCAGACTTGAGATAACTGGTGCAGAAACTCAGGAGGTCTTTATTTAACTTAATAACCTTCGTGGGTGTTAAGTCTATCCTCTGAGTATTTTCAATCAGGTTACAGCAGAGAATGGCTGTAAATAGGCCACAGTCACTGAAGCAGGACACATGATTCTGCACAGACGCTGTTAGGACCTTCAGTACGGGATGGGTGACTGAAAGGTTGCGAAGCAGGGCTGAGGACTGTGAGGTTGTGCACACACTACCTCCCAAGCCATTGTGCAGCTGCTTCAGCCTCCCTGAAGGGCCATAGCATGACACTAGGATTCCTTTCAAGACAGAAAGTGTGGACCTGACTCTCTCACTTGTCAATGGTTCAGCTTTACAAAGCGATGGCTTCTTAGCTTCAAAACGAGACATCCTGCTTCAGGTGGAACCTGTACAGGTAGCTTTATTTTGTTCACGTTTTTCATTTATTGCACTGCCATGTGTTTTAACATTAGAAACATTTTTTTCACGAACGAGAGTCTGCATTCAGCATTGCCAGCTACAAAAATCAAGTGGTTTACAGACAATAACCAGTAGACATTAATTTAATGACATTAATAATTCCAAGAATTTATTTTGCTTCATTCTTCAATATTCTTTTGTTTGTCTCTGGACTGAGACCTCACAGACTCTTTTGCAGCTCTCTGCATAAAGTATGTTCCAAGATGGACACCTACAAAAGTCACCCCGGCCACAAGAAGCCAGTTCTTTCTAATCCAACTGGGGTTTTTCATTTCTTCTTTTATTAGCAAGTTCAGATTCAAAGTTGCTTCTTTCTATAAGAAATTAAAAAAATTTAGAAGAATAATTCCAAAGTATTTCATAGGCAGCAAATTTAATCATTCTAATACTCTGCTCCATTTTTAGAAAAGAATCTTAACTATCACAAGCATACTGGAAGTGAGAAAGGGAAACTAATGGACTTCATACTTTTGCTTCTAGAAAATAAGTAACACATTATAAATCTAAGTTTATTTTTCACCCTTACTGACTAATAGTCATGGTACTAGGTACTCTATAACTCCAGAAGAGAAAAGTAAACACCATCCCAGCTACCTACAATAGTGACCTTCCTGCAGGATATGCTGGCGCAACAGTGGCACAATGCTGGAGTAACCAACCACTATAAAATTGGATTTGAGGCCCATTTCATGAGATGGAACTTCTGTCTGACATTGCCAAAGTGGCCAATAACCTGAGACCAGATAGATACTGGACCTAGAGGAAAACCTAATTATTCTGCTAAAAGATCATGGCAGTAAAATGACATTCTGCTATACTCGTATTAGTGCAGTGCTTAGCCACCATCAGAGAAGCTTCCTCCTGCAGGAGACGAGAACTAATAGAAACCAGAGAATGAGAGACCTTAGAACACTTGGTCCTAAATGGGAAATCATCAAACCCTCCCACCTCAGCATTGAGGAAGAGGAGGTGGAATGATTGTAAGAGCCAGGGTGATGGATGATTCCAAGGAAGCAGTGTCTTAGATAGCAGGTCTGGAACATACAAACTCACATCAGCTGGGGCACCATGTACAGGTACAAAACAAATGGAGTCCCAGTGCTAAGATGGGGAAGTAGACATAAGCCTCCATTCCTAACACAGAAGTTATTTCCACTTGACAACTACTTTCAAAGCAAAAATTAGATTCTCCTTGTTTCATTGAGTATACAAACAATACATAAAGGCAGGCTCCATGGTCAGCAGATGGACAACATTAAAAAAAAAACCTCATAGGTGTTATCGGAGATTTTTTTTGTCTCATATTGCATTTCTTAACCTTATTTGTCTTTTGTTTGCATATTATGGTTTTTGATTTTGTGTTTTTATGGTTTTGCTTGTGTGTCTCTGCATGTGTTTCTTGTACACTGCTTGCTTGTTTTCTTCCTTTTCTTTCTTTTCCTTTTTTTTTTCCTTGTTTGTTTTGAGAGAAAGCCTTGATTTGGAAAGGTGGGGAAGTAAGAAGGACCTGGAAGGAGATGGAGGGAAAACTGTGATCATAATATATGAAAAAAAAAAATTTTCCATTAGGAAAAACAAACAAAAAAAAGGCTTTGTTCTCTTGTGATCTTAAAAACAAGTTCTTATTTCTTTATTTGGTGTAATTTTTATTTTTTAATTGTTTTATTCTGCTTTGAAACTATGCTTAGACAGGACTGCATTTAAATCAAATCCTGTTTGTAAACACATGACAACAGGATAGCTGTGATGGTTAGTTTAACTGCTAACCTGACACATTCTAGAATCAGTGATAGAAACTCAGTGAGGGCAATTACTCAATTAGTAGAAGACTTGCACGCTGTGGGTGTGAGGATTCTAGACGATGTGTAGAGAGTGAGCGAGAACTGGCCCCGATTCCATTCAGTGACTGTGAAGATGAGCCCAGTCACTTCAAGGTCCTGCCACCTTGACTTCCCCAACAATTCCACAACTTGGAATTGTGAGTCAAAAGCAAAACAGAACAACCCCCCAAAAAAGTTCCCTTCTTAAGTGTATCAGGATATATGTTAAAGCAACAGGAAAAGAAAGGAAATTAGCAGTTGTGAGCATTCCTACTGTAGAACTCATTATTACAGTCTAGATTTAGTTGAATCAATCAGTGAAACAACTGTATTAGTACACAAACTATGCTTTATAGACTTGGTTAAAGTCAGAGTTAATTTTATAGTTTCATCTACTAGTCAATCTTTTTCAAATCCCTAGTCAACTAATGCTCTCTAAACTGTTGGTCAATGCCAATTAAAAAAAAAAAAAACTAAGAATGTGCTCAATGACAAAGAGAAAAGGAGCTCAAGCTTTGCAATTCAGTTTCAAATTCTAAGCATCACACAATGTTACCACATACAAACCTCTCAGTTAAAAGAAAAGGAGGAGGAAAAAGGTGCCTAGCAGAAGTGCATTAGTAGTCTATGTAAGGCACTAAAGTGCAAGCCTTGAGGCATGACATTCTGATGTGTTAAGAATGATGTATAAGAAATTCAGTTTATGGATTTTATCTGTTGAGGCTAGGTGTCATAAAAACAAAGGTTTACCTAATTATTAAATAATGATTTTCAGGAATGTACTAACCACGTTTGCCACTTGAACTGAATTTTGCATAAGTAAACTAATCTTGGGTCAGCATTGGATAAGTGGATAAAGCACCTCTCACCAAGCCAAACTGATCTAAGCGATGGAACTGTCTAAGATGTACCAAGCCTATCTACAAGTACTGTTCAAAACAAAGCAACAACAAAAACTGAAAGTGGGCTTTTGTTCTACCTCCTAGTTTACAGAAACAGATGCAACCCACTAAATTCACAATGTGGGAGATTTCCAACAAAGTAGATGAGGGGTGATATACTCCACTCCTGCAGAAACAGATAATCATTCACCAAATGTATGCTTGTCTGGATCTAGATGCTAAGAAACTCAGTTTTTTATTCTGTTGTTGACTTTAAAGATAAATTCAAAAATATGATCAGGAACTGGTCATGAAGTCATAGTAAAGAGTTCCTGTTAGTTTTCTCAGTGTTGTCAGCAAATGTTGGTCCCACTGCAGTAGTTTGGATGTTTACTATTACCATTAAAAATACAGAAAGGGTTTACTTTAAATTCTTCTATCAGTTAAAAGAAAAGGATGAGGAAAAAGGTGCCTAGCTCACTGGTAAATCACTTCTAACATGTGTAAGGCTCTGGTTTCAACCCTTAGCACTGCTCCCAAATCAAGACAGAATCACAATACTGCTAAGTGTAAATGTGTACACTTGGAGGGTCTAGTTTCTACCCTTTCTTTTCTCATAATGTTTGAAACTTTTTACAAAACAAAAACTATCAATGGACAGACATAGCACTTGTTTTCATGAGCTTTGCTTATTTGGAATGTTTAGAGTACTGTGAACTCGGCTTTAACTTCCACCTATCCTAAACCAATTTAAATACTTAATTCTCTTGGCCTATCTAGCAGTGTTGGGCTCAATTTTGTTTGGTTTCTTGTATTTCTTTGGAGACAAAATTTTATTACTATGTGGTGCAAGCAAGGTGCTTTTGAACTTGCAATCCTTCTGCTTTAGTCTCCTAAATCCTGGGATTACAGGTGTGGGCCACCACACCCTGCCCTCTCAAATCACCTACTGCTCATTGGTATCTAAGATTTCTTACTATGTTCACTAACATTTTAGGAAATACTTTCTCTTCTTAGCTTTAGTACTTCATTTTTGAGCAAGGATTTTTTTTTTCTCTTAGAGTCTGACTATAGATCGCCTCTATAAACTTTAAAGTTCTACACATACACCCTAAATGGTCTTACAGCAATCTGGGAGAACTTATCTATAAATATCAAGCATCTAATAAATCTAACTCCCTTTTCCTACCAATGAAAAGTCTTTCGGCATAGGAGCTGGGTATGTAGACAGAACTTTCTGTCCTGCCTGGTCCCTCAGCCATTTAGTCCCAAAGAAAGACATAGAGGCTTACCTTATAAACTGTTTGGCTAATTATTAACTAGCTCTTACAATTTAAATTAAACCATAATTCTTGCATGTTTAGCTACGTGGCTTGGTACCTTTTTTCAGTGAGTCATTTTGATCTTACTTTCTCTGCTTCTGGCTGGTGATTGTGCCTCTGCCTTTCCTCTTTCCATAATTCTTAGTCTGGTTCCCCCCACCCCCCCCCCANAAACTGTTCCACAGACCTGATTAACAGCGTCCCTATAAAGCAGGAAGCAGTTTGGAGAGAAATAACTGCACCCATATTACCAAATATTGTTTATAAATATTTACATTTGCTCCCCCCATACTTCCCGCCTAGCTACTGGCCAATCAGCATTTTATTAAACCAATATGAGTGAGAAATCTTTATAGTGCACAAGAGCATTATCCCACAGCAAGGGTACTTGTTGCTCTTTTCAGAGAACTCAAAGTGACTCAAAGTTGCCTGTAACTCCAGGTCTGGGGATTCTGTCACCTTCTGGCTTTTGCAGGAACTCACATACAAGTGGCGTGAGGACACAACCCCCCCCCCAACAAATCCTTTTAAATACATATAAATTTTATAATACAAAGATTATCCCTAAGGCTGTATTTTAAATTGTCAAGTTCCTAGTATTTGTTTTGCTACTCAACTTTTCATACAAAAAAAAATTACCTAGTATTTTAAATCATGCTCTTTATTTTTGACCTTATGAACATTTAAAAATAAAATCTTGACATAAAATAAATTTTTGTTGCTATTGTTGAGGCAGGGTCACTATACAGCTAGGCTGCTCTCAACTCCTAATCCCTTTGCCTCAGAATCCAGAGAGCTGAGATTATAGGCACCGGCACCAATGATCATTTTTTTTTCTTTTTTTTTTTTTTAGCCAGGGTTTCTCTGTAGTAACAGTACTGGCTCCTCCACCAGCAGGCCTTGAACTCACAGAGATCTGCCTAC